GACTTCCCCGAGGTCCCGGCCCTATATAGCACTGTCCTGTAGGAGACTAGGGTATGTTTGGATCATACTATAAGGCGCTACTATATGTCCAGAGCCAAAATTTATGCTCTCCTTCTTGTCCATTGGGGGTGGGCTCTCATCGCCCGCCAGAGGCACGGGGGGGGGGGGGGTGGGAAGGTAGACGGAAGTGATGTGAGGGAGAAAGAAAAGTCCGTAAAAGCCCCATGAACGATAAACAAGCTCATATCGAGCGAACGCCAGCCCTCGAGATCTCAGGCGGGCCTTTCTCATGTGTCCTACCTGTTGGGAAAATGGCTTCAATGTGACGGAAGTGACCTGGTCGGGCATGGTGGCAACTAGTTTCAACAGCACCGTAAATAGATAGCTCCTAGAAGTATAAGTACCATCGCCTGGTACCCAAGTAGAATAGCAATCAATCATTGGATTTGTCTTCTCAAGCGTATACTATTCTCATACTCTGTGATCTTCCAAGCTCCTACCCAAATTGATCACATCGCATACGATATTTCCAACACTACCGCTTTAGTTATCAGAGAGTGCTATCTCGTGATCCATCCAATCAGATCTATTTCTTGCTTCTGCCATGGTCCCGGCTACGCGGGAACATGATACAACCGGGCCAAAGACTCCGGACCTGCTGAAAGGGGGGTGGATCATCTCTAATTGCCTCGGGGTACCGAGGGGCCTAGGCGCAGATGCACGCACAAAACCGACGCTAGAAGAAAAGCGACCGTGAATGAAACAGTGAAGTCAGAGTTCCCACGGCATTGCGGCATAGGCCACGCCTGGTTAATTCAGATAGGATAGTGAGATGAGGATGTTGAACCCCACTAGGTCTGGACCTAGTGTTTCGGCGCCCTCGCCACCATCTGTTCGTGTTTGGAAAATTCTTCATGTGTTTGGAAAACCTTTTATCTGTTTGACCTAGATATTATGAATTTCATTATTAGGAATGAAACGGATTGTGAAGGAAAAAATTTGTTCTCATGTATCAAGTTGGATTCGGTACGGTTTCAACTTTTGGAACGTTGGGAGATCTCACAGTCGTTCCTGTTATTTCTCTCTATTTTGTTGGCTTTTCTTTCATCGCCACATTCTATATGAAGTCTGGTATGATACTTTGTCCCTTATTTCTGATTATTACGCGAAGTTATTCCTTTTCATCACCATTCTTTATTCTTTCGTCACGCTCTCTGTTGCTCTTAGTTAGAAGCGAATACACCGGTATCTCGTCCTTTGCCGTATATACTTCACCGAGGATAGTAGGGAAGCGTGGCGGGTGATAGAGATGATAAAAAAAGTAGAGGATATGTGAAATTGGATTCCGGGAGGACACTCACATGCAGCTTAATTACCACCGATCTATTGTGTGTAATATGAAGCCACTTGCAGTTTTTTTTTGGATGGCAGTTGGTGGATCTGTGTGCGAAATCCACAATGGTGAAAGCATCGTGAGTTTGCCTAAACCCACCTCCGCTGAAATAACTACTCAACAATGGTAAAACTAAGGATGATTCGGAGATAAGACAAGATTAACCTCAACACGTTTGCCTTCCGATCTGGGAATATCTCTTTCACTCAGGCTCTTAAAGGCCTAGTATTTTCTTCAACCAACAGGTTACTTGCTTTGCTCATGTTGGGAACACAAAAGAGGCATCCTGGACATATTTTGTGCGATCATAAGCCTTAGCCAGATGTCCCTGTTGTGCTCGTGGACCTTAAATTTTGTCAGCATTCTTTCTCAGAATAGCTATCGTTTATCCGTAGGCTGCCTATGGATTCACAAGCTTTCCTCTTATATACGGGCATGTATACCGAGTCCCCCTTGAATTCTCGAGAAACTTCTGGAAGGAAGTAGATGCTTCCTCTTGTTGCTATGAATTTAGAGCACTCAGCTGGGTCGGGAAGGGGGCATTTTTTATTATTATGATTCAAGAGAGCGTGCATACCGTGTTTTCTTGGTTCGCTGCCCAGCACCGGTGCACCCCCGGAACCATGGAGGCTTTGCAATGAGCCACCGACCCTTTCCCCCCAGGATAAATCCACCAGTCCTAAAGCTCTCCCTCGTATGGAGGGTCTACGAGTGGTGGAATCTCATTCCACAGTACTAGTCACGGCTTCTAGCTACTCACTCTCCCAGACACTCTCGGCGAGGAACACCATTAAGTCAGCTCGCGTGTTGTGATGACATGAGGTTGGGATTGAGTTTCCAACTCGGCTGCAAGTAATCATCCCTGACGGGGATCGTCCCGTGCTTCCGAAGCACAGCCACGGGAAACAGGGAATATGGGGGGCAACCACCAAAGCCTAAGTTAATTACCGGTAATTTACCTTCGCCATACGGTACCTACCAATCACTTGAAACCAATATCGTACTAACCGGTTTTAAATACTAGCACCCTCCCCAGTATTGTGCTCGTACACCACTCGCACGCTCTGAGGGCCCCCTCTGTTTATCCAAAAAGACCAGTGTGGGAAAACAGAAAAAACAAAACATTTAAATGAAACATGAATTGCTCCAATTACTGGCAGAGTATTCTGAGTGTTTTATTCTCAAAGTCTCCGTTGTGGGAAATGGACAAGTGACTCACTTATGGCATGCCCAATGGTTTCACGGCGCTACACCTCTGGGCCAACCGTAGATTCTACGGGAATTCCCGCCTGCCGTGCCTTCGGCCACTAATACATAATGTACGTGGCGGAGACTTTAACCCCCCCCAAGTACGATACCTCCTCCCCCGGCCAAAGGCGTCCGGCGACTCGCCGAATTTCACAATTACTAACCTAGGTTTTTTCGATGACCGGGCGTCAAGTAAAATAAATAGCTCCCCCAGAGTACAAAAAAAAAAACGCAAACACCGACTTCCTAACTGTCTGCGCTGGAATTTCCAAGGAGGGAATTGGAAAGTCCGCATTCAGAAGCACCCTAGCGCCCGAACTTCTTACTCGGATTTTCCAGATCCATCTCTCACTTTCATTTTCTTGTCCCGGTAGGGGGAAGGGTACACATGCAAGCCAACCATGGAGCTTATGTGACAAAGGAGCCCTCAGTGATGGCACAAATAGAATAATATAGTTGGTGGAAGTACTCAAGCCGGGGACATCCATGGAGCGGATATGCGACACGATACCTTCGACCCGCGGGCCCAGGCGGGTGTAGGGAATTAGAGAAGGAAAAGACTCCGTGCACACTTTGTGACAAAGCTCTTCGCCATCGGACCAGCGTTTGCAGTCGCGGAGGCTAGGCGCACCTACCACCCCACGTTATGCCCCGCCTCGATGCTCTGAGCGCGGGCCTTGTCAAAGAGTAGGGTTCCAACACCACGGCAAGGCAATTTGAGATCTTTCCCCACGAGTAGGAGGTATAGGAGATACAGGGGTGGAGTCCTGCTGTTTTACTCGAGAGGTTCGCTTGAGTTCCAGGAAAGATTTAGCCGGGAGCCTGAAACATTTGAAGGGGACAAGGGGGGGCAGATGTGGCATAATGTTATATAATCTCTCCCTTAGTCCACTGGGTGTTTAGATATTTGTGCACTGGGTTTTGGAATTTTCCAATGCCGGATTTTTGTGGGGATTGTGTAGGAGCCTCGGTTTGCGGGGTTGATGATCAGGTCGTTTGTTTCGCTGTGTGCCATCAAAGGTGATTAGCTGCATCGAAGCAATCGTGCATTGCTCTACGGAGCCTAGATCTTCGGACCAGCTTAGTACTCTAATGGGAAATTATCATACCTAATCACTCGATGATTCGTGTCTCTGGGTGTTGTAATATCACTGCATTCAAGAGTAGAGAAAAGACTTGTCCTTCTATCCCATCTCCTGCGAGAAGGAAGTACTAATATACTACATGAGTTTAGCAGTCACTTTGAACAGCGTGTCCTGTATCATCCAAGCCAGTTTCCCAACAGGACCTACTCGGACCCTCCAGCTCGGGATCCCGATACCAAACAAATCCGATGCGGTAACCATCTAGTAACTGAATCCTGAGAAGCCACATCTTCCAACACTGGGTGTGACTACCTATGTTCTCATGGTGTGTGTACTCGAGTATTCGGAATTGGGTAACCATAAAGGGTCCTTTGGGGCTAGTAGAGGTGTTACTAAAATGGAATCACGATATCATGAAATATCCTCATGTTGCCTGATTGAAGTCGCCTTTTTTTTTTGGTGGGTCACCAGAAAATAGGGACGGGTTGACTTCAATCTGGCTACATGAGTAAGTGACCAAGCAATTTCGTATTGAATCCTGACTTAAATACCGTAGCTATTTTCATATTCCTTCATTGGGATGATATATTAGGACTAGCGCCCCTACTACTAATATCTGGCTCCGAATACACGATGGAAAATACAAGTAGATCGCCTCTATTAGGAGCAACTTGTCGCTACCGTGGCCAAAGAACATAGCATGAAATGGGTAGTCCTATGTAGACAGCTAAAAATTAATTCATGCACAACAGCGGCATAAGGCCCACCTGCGGGTACGGGTATCGCTAACCAAGCAAAGACTCAGGCTATGTAGCACCGTGGGTTAGGGGTCCTGTTGCCGGCTGCTCACGATCGGATCGGGCCCGGGTCGGCTAGGCGCTCCTCCTACCATGCTGCAATCTCACGAATCGGCCCAACAAAGACTTTTTTTTCTTTGAAGGCAGATGCGGCTCTAGGATTTGCTGGCCGCTTTACCTATTCTGTTATAAACCTTTGTCATCTGCACAATCTAATCCACCCCTCCCCTCTTTAAGTCGGCAACCGTTTGCCCACTTCCTCATCATCCCCTCCTCACCCCTTACTCTCGCTCTCTATAAGATCTATACCTAAGATCTTCTTTCTTTGGTGTTCAAGCACCACCACCTACTCCACCCGAGTTCAGCAGCCATAGACCCTATGAGGTCACGTTCACGTTCTTCGTTTCCCTGTGTAACCGATTAGCACCGCCCCACCCCTCCTACCGTCCTGTCCCCTCACCATTCTCCCCCATCCCCGACTACACCATGCCACGGAGAATAAGAGAGAAAGTCCCCGTAATGCGTGCTTGCGAATCGTGCGCCACTCTCCGAGTATTACCCTTGGTTCCCTACCAGTAAATTTCATCACACCACACCTCGGCTAACCGACACAGCGGAGATGCGAGCACAAAGTAGCCGTCTACCTACCTAGGAAAAGTGACGGCCCAGACGCGAAGCCACGTCCGGTAGAACCGGTTGATGAAGCCATGCCCGACGCTTTCTCTAATCCTAGGACCAGGAAAAATAAGCGTAAGGCTGCACAAGTGGAGGAGGAGGTTCCGGGGATGGTACGAAGTGTGCGGAGGAGAAGTTTGAGGAGTGTTGGGGGTGATATTGTGGGCGAAGCGGTCCGACAGGCTAGCGATGATGAGGGACCAGTTTCCAAGGGCTCAAGCACTGGCTCTACGGAAGAGGGGGAATTTCCAGGAGCTCCCAATGGCCTACAGCACGGCCAGGGAGAAGAGGGATACGAAGATTGGAGCTCTGTATCTAGTGGGGATCTGCATGATGAACCGTCACCCCCCGGATCTGTCAGCCTGCCCGCAATCGCAATCGCCTCTCCGACACCCTCGATCGCACCAGAAGTTGAAACCCGTGGGCCATCGCCCTTCAGTGACGACGACGACTCTGAGGGGGAAGAAATTTTTGTCCGCCCACCCCCCGCCCCCTCCCCCCCACCGACCAGATCCCAGTTACCTTCGTCAAATGCCTCTCCCGCTCCTGGATCCTCTCCGTCAGCTCCATCAACGACGCCTTCTCCGCGGCAAGCCCCTATCCGGCCACACTCTCGCTGGGTAGATCCTACCAAACCTGCCAGTCGCTTTTCAGGAGGGAGGAGGTATACTCCACTGACGCTGAACGCTTCTATCTATGGAGGGAGGGTCCCGCCGCCGGCTCCTACACCACCGCCGGCATCAGGATGAATGTCACCAGCGGATAAATTGTTCTCTTTTCCATGTTTTATGTAAATACTACGAGCCTTATCATTTGAAATTGCTGTGAGCATAGGTGTTGTCGATCCTGCTTGTGTTATATCATTGCCTCGAGCCGAGTGCGGGCATGCAAGCGCGGACATTCGCAAAGTTAATAGGGGGGAGAAAATGAGGATGGCAAGAAGCATACAATTTCCTCTCTATCTTTAGCTAGAGCTTTCAATATTAGCGCATTTCAATGATGCACTCCTCTAGTCTGCGAAATGAGAACATCCTGATAAATGTCCCTTGCCCTACAGAAGGCCCCAGAAAGCAGGATTTAAGGAAAGAAAGGGTGCCCGGGAGAGAAGGATGCATTACGGGAGGCTATTGGTTGAGAACAGTCAGTTTCACAAAGCGTTACCAAAAATGGTTTGAGAAATAGGGTCCAGCGAGAAACTGCTGAAGAGTTACTTGTATGATTCAACTTTCCTAAAACCCGGCCCGCCCAACAGCACACGATCCGGCGATGGAATAAGTCCTTCAAAGCAAGGAATATCAGAGTAAAAAAAAGCATGACAGTGTATCTAGAATCACGACGCCAGCTCTCTTTAGCTTTCATTTTTTAAATAAAAATTCAAAAAAGAGCAATTGTAAAAAGGGTTCTTATCAAGATGAAACATGCGTTGAAAAATTCAGCACAATAGACTGAGATAAATTTTGAGGAGGTGGGGGTTCGGACAGCAACGATCATCTTCGGGAATAGTGTGTGTGAGCCATGCTCCTTCCTATCAACAGAACAGCAAGAAGCAAATTGCTGCACATTTTTCTAGTGGGGAATCTGTCGAACAAAAGGCTACTACGCTACAGTGTTGAACAGGTATGCACGATGATTGATACCGGTATCGTACACTGCGGTGGTCGGAGCTTGGCATCGGTAGCTCTGGTCTCTTCGGGATTTGTTTCATTACCGGTACTGTACTGTACACATTTTAGGTCGGTTGCGCTGTTATCGTCTGTGATACCGGTACGGTACTTGGGGATGGCTCTATCCTTGTCTGTTACGGTTATTCGTTCTTGCCTTGTGGCCGCATACAAGCATGGTACGGTGTTGGTAAAGACTACTGTACCGTATAGTACAGTACGGTACCCAAATCTACTCTACGCGGGTTCTCGTACAGTACGCCTGGGACGATATCGCAAGGGTGTGCGCCAAACTCCCCCTAGCCCTCCAGGGATCCAATGCCGGAACAGGATCCCCCATCGCAGGGACCAGATCCTGGCATTCAGATTCCGGTACCGGTAGCCCTTTGTCGTGTCTCGGTCGAGTACGGTAGCTCCGTACTGAAGCCGTGGCAAAAAAAAATAATGAAAAAAGTGTGGGGTTATTAATTTTAAAAAAGCTTGACGATTCTTTAAAACCTTCTTGGGATACCGTAAGGCAACGTTGGTTAAGGATTATGACAGGAAAAAAATAAAAATAAAAAAAGGGGATCTATGGTACTTTCTGTGTCTCTGTAAACCCGAGAGATTCCGAGCTGGCTCGTCGGGGGGTGATAACCTGAGATCGAGACCTCGTGATCTAGTAGGAATATGTGAGCCGTGTTGCCGAACCCTCTTTCGGCTCGGATACTGGTATTGCTATTGTATCATACTCTATGGTATCTTTCGAAGCCCGTCTCGGGACTAGACGCCGAGTAAAATAAGTGGAGAGATGTACAGTGCTCGGGAGGTGGTGGGTTTGTCCACCCCCAGGCGGTTTTCTTTTTATTTCACAGGATCCTTTTCGCCCTCTGGGGAAGTATGATATGGGTTGTTGGGCCGTGTTTGAACGGGAGTCAGCACCCTGCCGATGGGTTGCCGGGTGGCATTCGTGGGAAGGGCCTGGGATACCGTAAAAACTCAAATAATCGAACCGGGTGCTATGTCGTTGGAGTTGCCTCCTCCGGTAAAGTCTGTTGTTTTTCTGTTTCCTTACGCCTCTGAGGGGGGCTGAGCAGCTCCGTTTTTGCTGTGTTTTTCGCCCCCTTTCTCAAGTGGGTAATTCTCGACTACATAGCACACGGTTCTGTTATTTGAGTTTTTACGGTAATAGGAGGAGGGCGAGGAGTACGAGAGGGGAAAAAAAAAGAAAAAAGAAAAAAAACGAGGATTCACGAGATATATGACGAGCGATCTGTGCATATCTCAGCCCCCGTACAAGTTCGCGGACCTCGTTTTTGGATACTTTGTCTGGTATGGGGTGCCGACAATACCACATCCAAGATGTTCGGCGATTGGGCTGGTGAGCCACACATAAGCCTCAGCTGGTATGGCTCAAAAATAGAGAGTCATCTGTATATGTCAGGATGTCCGAGTGGTTAAGGAGTTTGACTTGAATTAACTTGTTTCGTGCAAGTAAGGCTCATGGTATCAAATGCGTTCGCGCGCGCAGGTTCGAATCCTGTTCCTGACGTTGCTTTTTTTTTCTCTTTGCCTTCTTCCCATTCAAAAAAAGTTCTTATTTCAACTTGTGCGCTCCGCCACAATTGGCGTTTTTGTGTGCAAGTACGAGCACAACGCGAGCAGGGTAAGGGAGGATTTTTTTTTTAGCAGTGATCTTGTAATTCGCCAACCACCCGGCCCACTGATCTGCACTTTGGAATTGGCAGGGGGAAAGGTTCGGGACCGAGGGGAAGTGCCGGGTGGGCAGGCCAATCAGATAGGCATGGAAGCGGAGGCTGAGAGGAAAGTGGGAAGGTGCTATTGTTGTGTCATACCGGTATCGTTCGTGCACTCCAAAACGTGCAACAGATTTTATCTCGTTTTCAATCCATTATATCGCATGACTAAATCCTACAAACCCCGCCACCACTCTTCCTACTACTTGTACATTGGCAAAACTCCCATAGATACCCCTTCTAGCGAATAAAAAAATCGCAAACGTTCACGGAATTTGCTCTCCCCGCAATCAACAGGCCCAGCTACATATCAGGAACGACCATCTAGTTGGAATGACCACGGACTAACCCTGGTGTCTGAGTGCCGTGAGGACTGCGGTAGGATGTTGAACCTCACTCTACTCGTAGGATGCTGGAGTTACCTCTCCTAGTAAGCTGGTAAGGTCTATTATATTTTTTCTTTTTATCTCGCGGAGGGCCGAAAGTCTGCTTTGTTCGGTGTGATTCCCCCCTTTATCCAAAGAGGGGGAATTCCTGACGTCTTAGCGCGAGGTTCAATTTTTCCCGGCCCTCAGGGTAGGGTAGCGCAAAGAACAGGGCGCTATAGGAGACACTTCGAAGGCAAGGAAAATTGCACTCCGTAGAATGTATCCTTCACTATGCTGCAGGCTTATCTGTTAGTACGCTCTGTGAGAGGAGGGGCAAAAACAAAAAAAGAAACAAACTCGGCGAATGAGCCTGAACGGACTGTATGCGTTAGAATAGCTACCGGTAGCTCAAAACCTTGGGTACTTTTCCTTCCAGCCGTCTCAGACTACTACTAAAAGTTACGAGCACTCGCAGCTGTGGTGGTAGGTGTATACGCATGAGCTGTAGTCGCTAGCATTCATATCCATGCAGTGGGTGTCGATCCCGGGTTTAACCCCACTCGGTATACCGGTAATTTTCTGAAGGTTACATCTGCTTTACGTTGGATTTCTACGCCTCATTTAGTCTTCCGCCTTTAAATTCTCATTCTAGAGTCTCCCCCGGCGGCAACCCCTCACCCCCAGAGACCAAACGCATCCGGAGGGGGAGCAGATGAGGAGGAGCGAGGCCCCACACAAGATTTGAGATGTCAAATTTGTTTAGGGTGCTCGCCCCCTCCGCACCCGCCCCCCCTCGAGGTGCGTCTACCAGGCATGTTACCAGTTGGCCGCTCCCGGGGGAGGATGCACGCACGTAAGGTTGACCATAATAAAATCAAAATATGCCTAGGTCGAAATAGATAGGACTCCTACTACTGCTGCGGTGTTAGATGATACTTGTTAGCCATAGTATTGCCGTGTAACTAGAAAAAAGGTATACCAATGCCCAAGGGGGAAAGTAAGTAATGACAATTAGTCCGGTCTCGATGGCATGCGATTTTTTCCATGCCGCAATTGCCGTGGGCGATCTGGCGTGGGGGGGCGTAAAAAGAACCAAATCATATATATACACGAAGGGGGAAACAAGGAATTGGGGACAGATGAGGATAAAATGGAGGAATCTCCCGAAAAGGATGGGGAAAGAAGAGAAACAAAAGGGAAGTAGATGAAAAGAAGAGAAAAGGAGGGAGAGAGGCGAAAAGATACAAAAGGAGTGAAGGGGGAAAAAGAAAAGAGAAAAGAAAAAGACATATCTAGGAAAATAACGGCTACGTTAAATTCCCACCATAACCCATCCCATCTGCGCCGTAAAAATGATAAACCCCAGCCCCCATCCTCAACCCATTTAAACCCAATTGGCAAAAAAAAAAAGACTTGCGAAAAGAAGAGCCGCCCCGCCGACTTAGAATAATGCGGAGAGTGCTCCCGATATCTGAGAAAGGAGAAAAGAACTAAATGGAGAGATGCTTTAGTGCAACCGAAACATGCTCCCGCGCAACCTTTTTCCACCTCTCCTTATCATCCAATCCAAAATTTTCGTTGTTGAAGATTGAATATAGTTGTCTGGAAACCTTTTTGTTGATCTCCGTAAACTCTTGCTTCGAAATCATTGTAGGGTACATTGGTTGCAAGATCGATGTGACCACGCTTGCAAGGCCCTGTTTGGCCTCAGGGGTTAGGCAGTTGATTGACTTTCTCTTGCGAGAATTCTGCTGGTCCTCATTACCGCTAGAGTCGCTGCCCGATGGTGGTGACGGGGCTTGATAAGGCTGTCCGTTTGGAGATGAGGCGGGGCGAGGTCTCTCCCAAGCACGAGAGAACATTGGCCGTATCGGAGATGCGGGCGTTCGGCGCGTTGGAGAGGAAACTTTCCCAGGGTTTCTCCTGACTGAGGCCTCTGAAATTGGGGAGCCGGGACAGCTCATGGGCGGTGAGCCTACAGCAAACGGGGAGAGTGATGTAGCGATTTCTGGGGAAGTCAACCGGCGACCTGAACTCGGTGCCGGTCTTACGCCATCAACTGGTGCCGCAGTACTCAGTGGAGAATACTCCAAGCCTTTTTCGATGTAAGACATGATTTGTGAATAGGCGCTCGGTGAGGATTCTGTACTTTCACCGACAGGGGGCTGGCGAACGTTTGAGAGAATGGCTATCGGAGTTGTATGCACCGTGTGGCTCCTCAAAACCGGGCCATCGCCAGTATTGACCAACAATTGCGAGTCACGTCGAGTGCGGGGGCGCTTCCGCCGTACTTCCTCTTCACGTTCTTCCGAACTCCTGTCGGGACCAGAACTAGATTCTCCATCCCTCTTCTCCGATGGTCCTATGCAAGGATCACCCTGTGGGTTCCGATCCTCCTGTATCCCCCTATCTTGGGACTCCTTTAGAGCCAATTCAAAAGTATCCCATAGCTCTTTCTCTTCTTTGGTAATAACCTTCGGTTCTTGCGGCCATGCGGTTCTGGTCCTCCTAACTGGTTCCGTCCAGGCCACCGGTTCAACAAAAGTGCTCAATCCTCCTGTCTGGGCTGCAGCAACTGCTCGTCTCCTATTAGTTCGGGTAAGGATTGAGACGATTTGATTTTCCGCGTCGTCATCGTCATCCTCGTCGTCATCCCGTGGGCTATGCTCGGCTTCAAGACGCTCCCAAGCAGATTCCCAAGCAAGCTGTTCTCGAGCTACCAACGTCGCGCGCTGAGACCTAGAAAGTGATCTTGTCCGAAGAGGATTACCCCCAAAGGGGTCGCCATTATTTATTACGGCCCTCCGCTCTCGCCAGGCACAACGCCGACAGATCAAAACGCTAGCAGGTCGTTGGGGTTCCAGACAGTTGATATGGTAGAACCTCGCACAAAAGCCGCATAGAACAGTTTCTCCACGATCGCCCAGATAACAGTGACTACATTCGGCGTGAAAAGTCTCGTAATGGGCTGCGGCAGCTGCTTGCCCTTGAGCGGCGGGCGGGGGGCCAGGATCCGGTCGGATTTCGTCTGCGACTTGTATCTTGTCCTCAACACGGTATGTCCGGACGGCTTCACCTATTTCGAAAATTAACAATTAACAAACTTTGATCGATTAGACATAGGCGATGTAGATGACCCACCATCCAAAGCTCTCGAGACGCTAACTTCGTGAAAGTTGGTACGGCAAAGGGGACAACTGTTTGCCCTCTCCAACCACAATTGAAGGCATTCGTTATGCATTGTATGATTGCAAGGGTTCAAGCGAGCAACATCCTCGCATACATCTGTCCAAAATGTGCCTCGGCGGAGATCGTTCAGGCAAAATATACAAGCGACTGGTTCCTGTTTGACATCGGTGGAGGAAAGCGCATATTCTGTCGACTTTGGTGAACCAGGCGGCTCAAGGGGTGGAGAAGGGGTAGAAGGTTCCATAGTGCTGGCTAGAACAAGGGTATTGAAGTTTGAGCTAGTCGACGAAATTCTGTTGGAGTAAACAGGCAGGAAGAGTATGTTCTGGTTGAGGAGCCAGTGAATCGCGGGAAAGAGGGAGAAGAAAAGTTGAGGTGGATGAAGAGTGGGCGAGAGGACCGCGCTTTATGTAGCAACACGCCAAGACCTCGAGTTATTGGTTTAAGCGGGGAGAAGCCAAATGAGCACGGCTCTGCGTAATCCTCAGCCCTGCAAGATAGCTCCTACCGCCAAGCCCCCCCTTCCCCCCGCAAGTCGATAAGCTGTCCAATAGGGTACGCGCTCAGTCGCAATTTATGGGTGTAACCCCAAATTAGTCTAACTTGATCAAAGTCACAAGATTTCACACAGCAGTTGAATTTGCCGCAGCCATTTATTTGTATGATACTCGAGCACGGTACAAGTACGCTTCTTTAGCTGTGTGGCAATTTGATGGAAAGCACTCATGAGTTAGGGGTGAACCTCAGTAGAGCTCTTCACGAGACTTACCGGCAATCACCTCGCCGCACCAAAGGTTGGCCAAAATTAAACCCTCCAATTCATGTTCACCCGCTTTATGGCTCTGGGGGGGATCCCAATTTTTAAGCGGCCCGTTCTTGTGCCACGGAGAGGCCCGGCTCAGTAGAACTCAGAACGTTCTGGGGCAGGGATTAACTCCGGACGGCACGTGCTATCGCACCGCAGATTTTTCCTGAACATCGAGAAGGAGGTCCCAACATACCGCAGCCCCGTAGGTTAGCACAAGCCGAGTACGGTACTACTATGCTGGTATTGGGTGTAAGAGGGGTGAGTTTCCCCTCCCTTCTGAGGATAAGGGACACCAAGGTATTCCAAAACTCGATAGTAAAATACCATGACCGTGCTTTCCGAGGGCGGACAATGTGTGGTGGTGGTAAAAGTGCGTTCAAATGGTACAGCGAAGGAGCTTCAGGCCAAAGATGCTCGTGAAAAAAAGGCGAGCAGGCGGCCGTAGCCTGAATCCTGCTGCCTCCCTCGCTATAGGTTTGTGCACTCGGAGAGAGGCTCAACCAGCGCAAGGCTGAGATCTCTGCTCTCAAGACTAAGTGCCCACTCTGAAGCCCTCGTTTGGACACAAGTAGATGCACGATAGATGCTAAATTACTTTATCAGCACCCTCAAGCGTGACAAGCCTAGTGGTGTGGATAGGCCGAATACCAGAGCGGTGCGGTGTGGGAATTTGACAATACATAGCGGGGATTAGGCTGTAGACCCCAGGTTCCTCTAGGGCGTTGATGGAAGGGCGTCTTCTCTACTTCCGAGAAGCATCTCGAAGGATATATCAATGGACTTCTTTTCATATCTTGCCGGTACTTGTCTTCTGCACATGAGGCGGATCGTCCATCACGGTCAAGGACATTACACTAACACTACGGTATTTCACCTAAGTGTAAAATTAGCTAACAGAAACCCCTACGGTACGATGAAGAAGTCTTTCACACACCCCTAAAGGCTCTGATCTTGGTTCAAGTTGTTTAAGCGATGGAAAAGTAGCTATCTTGACGTATACACAGCATGTGTGCTACCCTAGCCAACCCCTCTACGTGCAAAGGATGAAGTTCGGGCTAGAAATATTTTGTCCGTGTGGTGAGCCCCTGCGCTTAATAAACATGGGACCTCTCAAGCCACAGATCGTACAGCTAGATGATTGTAATTAGGCTGAGGGAACCGCGCATGGGTGCCATGATACAGGTGCCCAAAACACATAATAGTGTACAACGCAACTCTGTGCTTTAATCCAATATAGTAGCACGTAAGAAGCCAACAAGTTCACCAAGGATATTGGATTTGCCTCACATCGGTATAACTCGAGCTCATATGAAAAAACCAACCGTTTATGGAAGATGAGGGAACCCCCAATTGGTGTTATTCCGAGTTCCCTCAGTCTGGGTGGCCCCAGGAGCGCACATCGGAATATGGGTGGGTGCAAATACGTAGTGCACGGATGACGCGGAGCAAAAGTAGAGAGCAGGATTATTATATCTTAAACGAAACCCTGATGGAGCTTATGTCCATAGCGTGATGGCTGAGTTCACGTACAATCACTCAGAAACAAAAGCTTCCTGTAGTTCGCAAGATAGTATGTCGAGCCCACCAGGTTTCTGACTGCGGATGTGAAGCATCCATAGGTGTCTATGGGAAAATGAATAACGGGAAAGGACATAGTAGTTTCATAAGGATAGTACAAGAAATAAAGTATAAGGGTTTTCTTTTCCGTCTTGGGAGTAGGGGACAAAAGGCTAGAAGAAAACAAGAAAAGGAAATGGCAAAAAGAGAAATAACTATATAGCAAAGTGTTGAGCAGGGTTCAGCTCCACCCCCACTGTTCCTCGCATCGTTGGTTTTATGAATTAGGGTGGAATGGGCTTGGCTGAGTTACGGATGGTATTCATCGTCCTCTTCGATCTTAGACCGTTTAGGGGGGCTACCCATCTGCTCATTCCGGAACATATCAGCAACATCATCATCCAATCCCTCGAAGACCTCCGGCTCATCTCTCTTCTCCCTCTTAACCCCAGAAAGCGGGGCGGCCAGACTGGCAAGCAATTCAGAGGCGCCCTGGTGAAATTGAGGAGGAAGGACCGATGTCGAAGCGGATGACCTCGGATTGTCATAAGCCGGTTGACCGGGAGGGGTAAGTGCTTCAACCTCAGGAGATTTTGGTGAGGCGGCGTCATGCTCGGCTGAGGATCCCGCCGCTCCTCCCCCACCACCGTTGGTTTGGCTGTTCTGCGGTTCATCCATACCCTTCAGGATCATTATTTCGACTTCTTGCTTTGTGGTCTCGGTCCTTTGATGCTTGGCGACTATGTCCTTGAGTGTGTTCTTGTCTTTCTCGAGGGATGCCTTGTTCTGTGAGAGCAGGCGCTCAAGGTTGCGTATGTGGGTCTCGCGCGCCTCGATGGCACCTTTGACGGCGATATGAGCAGAGTCGAGGGTCTTGAGAAGAGAAGAGAGACGAGCGGCGTAAACCGGAGCTACCGGGAGAGTGTCGGAGTCGAATTGCTTTTGGTACTCGGAACCGGCACTACTGACTGCAATTGTAGCGGAGGAGTTCTTTAACATAAGGCCCTTGTGACTGTTGAGAATGGGGGTAAATTCCAATGGGGCACTTGAGCCACCCCCCCCTCCGAAAGAACCTCCAAAGGCACCACCCAGAAGTGGTTTGCGACCAGTTGCACCGGAGCTGGCGCTGCTCTTCCCTTTGTCGACATCTTGAGGTTGTTAGTGCATGCTCTAGTTTCGAAAAATGGAATAAGAATAGAAAAGGGGGGAGGAGGAATCCACGAGCGGGATCGCATACCATCAAGACGTTGTTCAATACTGCCTTGTACATCTGGTTCAAAAATGGCACGTTGCCGCCATACCTCTATCACACGTCGAATCTTGTTCTGGATGTCCGGAGTGGAATTCCTGTACGCTACTTCAGTCGCTTCCGCAATTATCTAGGACACCTATTAGTAAGTGAAATGACCGCGAAATGTACCAGCAGATATATTCTTACCGGCGAGAACGCGGTGAGAAAGTCTTGTCTCTTTCTAGCCTTGGATTGTTGAACCACCTCTAGCCGTCGTGATAACGTTAGAAACTCAGCGTCAGGAAAGATAAACTTCATGGGGTCGTAGCTTCTCACCATTTGCGAGATAAATCAAATTGAGCTTCTTATGGCTTGTGGATTCCTTCATCCTCTGCAACCATAGCTCGGCGGTTCTCTTGGCCATGCGTCTGTTGTAGAAAAGTCCCGATTAGCTACCCTCCCTTATTTCCTCGTTATTTTTCTTCTTCTCCCTTTCATTTCTCATATGGATGGGTGAATGGATGGGTGGATATTCGTATTCCATACCTGTGGAATAAAATCCAGTTCGCTGCAGTCACTATACCCTCCTGTGTCTCATTCAGAGCGCTGAGTTTAGACAGAACAGTATCGTCACTGTACGCCATTTTGCTTCGTTTCGAAGGGGATGGGGGTGTGTTCTTCTACGCAACAATGGATGATGGATATTTTTGGAGGACCTTTGTCGCGTCGGAGAATTGGCTGAGAAGTCCAAAATATGATACAAACGCAGCTACCCAGAGGGTTGGAGAAGAGGAAATTCTATGTGCTCTCCTTTTAGGGGGGTGGATGGGGAAAGAGAGTGGGTTGTTCGAGTCAGGGTATTGATGGGGTGGTATTATCGGCGATGGATTTTCAAGCACCCGGGTAGAATGGAATAGAACTAAGAGCAGTTTCCCTCTCTCCCTCTTCCTCCTTCCTAAGCCTTTAATGTTCCTATTTTGCTGCAGCAGGTGAGAATGTTGATGGTGATGAGGCGATGTTGATGGTGATGAAGTGAAAGGAACAAGAGAGCAAAGGGGAATGTTTGGCAGTGCGCGGTTTTTTAACAAGGATGCCAAGGACGAGGCAAGGATTTAGGCCTGTCTTGGCGGACCACTGGACTCGCGAGCTGCAGCGCGGCTGTTGTGTGGTGCTTGGCGATCCCACTCGATTTTCGACAGCCGAAGACCAAGCCTAGCCATTCGCAGAGGGAGCTTTGCTTGGTTCTGAGATCGTCGATTGAGAACGAGACGAACCCAGAAGATTACATATATCATACCGACACTGATATTTTTTCTTCTTCTTCTTTTTCTTTCCTGCAGCAAGGAAAAAATGCTACTATCTTGATTACGAACCTGAGATGACATGCCTATAGGATTCACCCTATGGGACCGTATTACACAGCCCGGAGACCGTGAACCTGTTCTGGAGGACCCGTGTGGAAGCGTGCAGTTTTGTTGCCTATTTAGCGCCGCATAGTGAGACACGAGGCTGGGGGAGGAGAAAAAGTGCGCTCAGGACAAGAGCTCATAACATCTTAAGATAGCTCGAGTGGTATGGAGCTGATTCGCGTTTTCAGCAGGACAAACCCGAGCTCCTAACGAATAGTTTCCCTAGGATCGGGTATCTCGGGAACTTGGGATTCAACTGTTCCATAAATTGCCCCCCGCCGATTGTTTCTCGGGATGCTCTATCGAAGGCTCTACAAGAGTCATATCCATGTGCTCCTAGTTGCCAGTGCACAGTATGACCAGCGGCAAATGATATACTCAGGCAGGGTGAATCCGGATATCAAATGAAAAAAAAAAACCCTCAGATGAGTTACTAAGAACGGTACAAAAGCTCTGTTCCGCTGCCTCCGGGGTTCTTTACAGGTTGTAGGACCGCATCTACTTGGAATTCTCGATGTTGTCTGTAGCTGCCACTCTTAGCCTTCACGTACTCTCGTAAGACTTGTGTCCGTATTTCCTCCTAATTTCGCTTTGCTTACTTGGGCTATCATGCTAGCTCAACTTCTGGCTGCGCGGTGGTGAAACCTGGATAACCTGGATCACGGAATGAAAATCAAATAATATTTTGTCGAGCGCCTTGCTACTCATCCAGTCTGGCAAGGGTGGGTTTGAGAGCGCTGCAGAGACGGGGGCCCTCTTCCCGTACACCGTCGTCACCAATTAAATAATGGCCCAAGGTGTATTTGAGCAGGCACTGAATGCTCGGAAGGTCAGTTGAGCATTGCACTCCCATGTTCCGAGTTTGTCAGCTGCAGCTAAGAGACTGATGTACCTCGAGGAGTATTGCTTGCCAGTCGAGAGCTGGGAGTTCACTAGTAGTCACTCGGCCTTGGCTTCCAGGTGCCCAACTCGACCTCGAATATAAATTAGTGGTAGTCCCCTAAATAGTGTCCAATTTCAACCTGAGCATACTATGTATGCCAAGGAGGGAAGCCGGAGCAGGTTTTGAAATTCCTCTTAGGGAAAACGTGATGCAAGACACCTACAAACCGCATGCGAAATTGCAACAACACCAGTATCAAGTTCTAGCAAACGCGGCCATGCACACGCACGCATACACGCACGCTAGAGGAACAATTATGTGGGTATTAACCCTATGGACATTTCCACGCAATTCTAATGGGGCTCCCCGTTTTTTCTTTCACCTGCTCTTCTTCTGTCTCCCCCCTCCCCTCCCCTCATCTGGAGCCGTCAGCCTCCACATCCCACACCTCTCGCTCTCCAAGAACCCTCGGGATAGTTCCTGCATACAGGATATTTCGATATTTGCATCCCTTTCACACACACACGGGGTTTTCTTCCCTGCGGCTTTTCTCAACTGCGCTACCCCTCTGAGACCACCCACCCTCCCGCTCCCCAACCCATCCACACCAAGTTGACCACAAGAAACACGAACAGTGCGTCAAGACTGACATGTCGGCCACCCAGAATGAGTCCGCTTGCACCTCTCAAATCCAACAGGACTACTTGCTGGCGTTGAGTCTCTCTTGCAGAAGATCTTCAAGAAATAACGGGAACAAACGTCCCCACGAGAAGTCAGCGGCGAGAGAAACAGAGCCCGTCAAGCCTGCTAAGAGACGGACGGTGAGAGAACTGACTTTCGGCAATTCCAAATACACTGTTACCGTTGGAGGTTCTATCCAGAAGAGGACTCACAAGAGCCTGAAGAAGGGTAAGCAGTTGGAGCAGTGTGCTACTGCAAACACAGAAAGGAGTAAACCGACCTTTATTCATGATACTTCTGATAAGCTAAGCCCTGTGGTGGGAGAAAAGCATCATGGAGTTTCTCAGGAGCCTCTAGCCTCATTTACCATAGGCAATGACCTCCATATCTCTAGCCAGGCTCATATCCTGCTGACGGGAAAAGCAACTTCAAGTTCCATCCACCCCCCCCTAGCCCTGGGGAACGATCCTCACGATAAGGCTTTAGGGGTACCCACACAATCGCTGAGTTCGAGTTCTCTCGTTCAGGATATCCCCTCCCATCAAAAAACTGTTGAAAGTATCGTTGCCACGATCATCCATTCTTACCACACCCTTTTACTTGTTAATAACCCTGAACACCGCTCTCATATTCCAGCTACCTCACAGCCTTACGCAGAGATGGCTAGTAAATCTGATCTGCTACAGGACAAGCTCACCTCAATGCGTACAAAAGGACCAAGCTACCGTGCCATATGTAGAGTTCTTCTACCACCACCCTACCCCCCATGCCCCCTCTTCTTCAGTCGCTGGATGATTTCCCGTCTTTTCGCTTTTGGTCATCCAACGCTCATAGAGGCCCTGGGCAGTGCCACAACTGTCAGCGAGGTACTCACAGCACGTGATGTCTATAAGAACGCTACTGGGACTGGAGTCAACACGATGCCGGTTTACGGGAGCATTCGTTTTAATCCGAGCAATATAAGCAATTACATTTCTACCCTTTTCGCTAAAGGTCCAGCGATAGCAAAATTTGTGTCCCTCCAGAATGCCATGCCAGCTTTTGCAGCCATGCTCGAGGTCGTTCAGGCGGAAAAAATACCATACTACACCAAGGGGACTCTATTAAGCTGGCTTTTGGTTTGCGATTTTGCGGAATTGGGGATTGTTGAACCACCCACTGCAAAGGATCTCGCAACTAGGCTCTGGATAATTTTGAAAGAAGGGAAGGGTGGCAAAGGAGCCTGGCGCGGGTTGGTGAAGGGCCTAGAAGGATACGAATTTACTCATGTGGGTGAGGTAGAGAAATTCTTGGAGAGGGTTTATAGAGAAGTAAAAGGTTATCTGAATACTCAGCTACAGGCACAGGGTGGGGAGTGCTTGTTCAGACCTCAGGGGCTATGGTATTCGGATATTGAGCATTGTTTATGCAAGGTGGTTCGCTCCGCGAAGTTCAATTAGGGTCAGGGTTCGATATGTTGTTGCCTATCATACTTTGATGGTTGTATCGTCCCGGCAATTTCTGCTGATCGATTTCCATACTTTGTTATTTTTTACTCTTTCTGCTATAGCTCTCGGCGGGGATTGCTTGCGCGAGTTACGTGGGTTGTTTTGCATCTCGTAGCACTGTTGTTGATTATTTCTTAAAAGTCCTCCCGTGTTTGTTTCATTTTGTGGTATGGTCAGTATATTGCTGTGTCTGTGGGTGATGTAGGGATATATTCAAGCATGGTCTAAAGGCTGCGAATAGACGTTTCTTTTTTTTTAAAAAAAAAAAAACCTAAACTAACTAACGGTACGGTACCGTAGTATCATGCCTATCTTGTACCCAAACAGGATCTTTAGGCATTCGGGGTAATTTGTGACCTTATTAATACCGTAGTTGACCAGTTACCCCTCAACCTCAAATGGGTAACCTTAAAGTAGTGACTGGGATATTGTATCCATTCATCTCTATACGAGTGCAGAGCCAGCACAACCGTGTAAGTGAGCGATTTCAATCCACCATACTATAAATTGGCCTCCACCACTTCCCCCCCCCCCTTTTTTTTTATCTCCACCCCGAACGTCTGAGTAGTCTTAAGACATCTCATACTCGCCCAATCATTCACAATCATCCCGATTGGTATCATAGGATGCTCTCAACCCCCCGTGTATAGTAAAATACGATAGTCCAACCAAATCAAATCCCCGTATTGACTAACAAGAACAAAAAAAAAAAACTACTACTCATCACAGTCTCTCACTCGGATACTGCTACTTGTCCGTATTGGGAAAATGGCTTCAAAGTGACGGAAGTGTATCTGGTCAGACATAGTGACAACTAGTCTCATTAGCGTTGTACATGGATACCTCTCAGAGGTACAAGAACCATTGCCCGGTACACAAGAGAAACAGCAACAATCCTCTGATCCATCCTCTAAGAAACATACTCCGCTCACGCTCCATGATCTCCCATGTTCCAACTCAATCTCTCACCTCACATGCAATATTTCCGTCAGTCCGTGTTGGGGAAACGGCCCGAACTTGAAGAAGAGTGGCTAAGGAAATTATAGAATAGGATAGACTCGTAAAAATGTGTGGACCTCAAGCAGAGAATGGAAAAGGTTTCTTGCTGGGTTTTCTGTTTTTTTTTTCCCCCGTTTTGTTCCTTTCTTCTTACTAGCACCGGTTCCTGAGGTCTTTGTTCTTACACTCCTGGCCGGGTCTCTATATATACAGTGCAATGACATGCGATTAAGTATTTCGTACTAACTTGGTTGTGTCTTCATCGCAATTGAAGTTGTATTTCCAGCAGTCTAAAGGTCCTTGGAGGATTGTCTAGCTGCCAGTAGTTAGTGCTTTCGAGAAGCCTCTGTGCCCTACGAGTATAATTCCTCTCTGAGGGGTTTTTTAATTTCGGAATAGCTCTAAGTTGTCTCTAACTGTTTGGATTTTTTTTGATTTTTTTCTCCTCCTTTCCTTCGATACCCGTAATATATTTCTGGGGTTGGCTGGCATTTGGGGGTCAAACGGTTTGCCGTTTTCCTTCCTTCCGTATCCAGTGTCATACTGCAGGGCGGGTGGTCAGGGCGAAGGTGTGCTCGCAGACTCTGGGCAGTG